TAAATTAATAACTTAATAACCAAATAACTGGATAACTTAATAACTAAATAACTAAATAACTAATAACTAAATTACTAAATAATAAATAACTACGTAATTAAACGTCTAAACAATGAAATTGATTTATAAATAAATAACTGAATAACTAAATCAAGAAATCAAAAAATAACGAAGTAACTGAATATCTAAAAAAACTAAAAAACTGAATAATTAAATAACAATATAAGAAATCACTAAAAAACTTAAAAACTTAATAACTTAATAATCAAATCACTTATTAACTGAATGAATAAATAACTAAATAACTTAATAACTCAATAACTTCATAACTTAATAAATAAATAAAACAATAACTAAGTAACTAAATAACTTAATAACTACATAACAAAATAACGAAATCATTAAATAACAAAATAATTCAATAACTTAAATCCTAATAACAACATAACTAAATATCTAAAGAACGAAATCACTAAATAACTAAAAAACTCAATAACTAAGTAACTTAAAAACAAAATAACTCAATAACTTAACAACTGCATTACTTAATAATCAAACCACTAAATGACTAAATAAATAAATTACTATTTAACTTAAAACTCTATAACTAAATAACTAAATAACATTATAACTTAATAACTGAATTACTTTAAAACTAAATGACTAAATACCTTAATAACTAAATAATTAAATAACTAAATAAACAAATAACTAATAACCACATACCTAAAGAACTAAATAACTAAATAACTCAATAACTAAAAAACTAAATAACTAAATAACTAAATAACTAAATATCTGAATAACTTAATAACTAAATAATTAAAAAACTTAATATATTAACAACTTAACTAAACAACTAAACAACTTAATAAATAAATAACTTAATAACTAAGATATGCACCAGCCTTTGGCTTAAAATCTCAATAATAAACAAAAATAAATAAATGAACTTAATAACAAAATAATTAATAACATAATCAATAAATAACTGAATAACTGAATAATTAAATAGTTTAATAATTATATTATTTAACAACTAAATAACTTAATATCTGAATATCTAAATAACTTCATAACTTAAAAACTTAATAACTACAAAACAAAATAACTTAATAAATAAATAAGTGAATAACTAATTAAGTGAATAAATAAATAAATAGTAAATAAATAAATAAATAAATAAATAAATAAATTAATAAATAAATAAATAAATAAATAAATAAATAAATAAATAAATAAGTAAGTAAAAAAAAACAAAAAAAAAATAAGTAAATAAAGAATTAAATAAATAAATAAATTAATAAATATATAAATACATACTTAAAAAAAGAATTAAATAAACAAATCCATAAATAATAAAAAAAAAAAATTATAAATAAAAATATATAAAAAAATGAGTAAATAAAGAAATGAAGGAACAGATAAAAAACAAATAATTAATTAATTAATGTTTAAAACACCGCCTGAATGTTAATAAATAAATGAATGAATGAATGAATGAATGAATGAATGAATGAATGAATGAATGAATGAATGAATGAATGAATGAATGAATGAATGAATGAATGAATGAATGAATGAATGAATGAATGAATGAATGAATGAATGAATGAATGAATGAATGAATGAATGAATGAATGAATGAATGAATGAATGAATGAATGAATGAATGAATGAATGAATGATGAATGAATGAATGATGAATGAATGAATGAATGAATGAATGAATGAATGAATGAATGAATGAATGAATGAATGAATGAATGAATGAATGAATGAATGAATGAATGAATGAATGAATGAATGAATGAATGAATGAATGAATGAATGAATGAATGAATGAATGAATGAATGAATGAATGAATGAATGAATCAATAAATAATTCAATCGTTTATAATTCGTGCTTGGTGGCCTTACAACGAAATCTCGAATACTGAGCACCACCGTCGATGTCATCAGAAGCCAATATCCACTGAAATCCCAGACCGTTGATCAGCCACACTCTACGAAGGGGCAGAGACGAAATCTGCAAGCAAGCACTGGACTGGAATTAGGTAAAACATCGCATCAAAGGTAGACCCAGGCAGGCTTATGGTGGCGGAGTCTTATAAAGAAAAATCAAGAAAGTTATTAGGAATTTGACTTGGGTCGAGGTTAAAGCAAAAGCAAGCATAAATATTTCACTTTGGCTCGCTGTACCACTGAAGGTGCCCATGATACTTCAGTAAGTAAATAAGTCAACTTTGTTTATTTTCATTAATCAACAACCATTTTTATCGCATCTAAAAAACTAGTTTTTTATATACTTTATACAGTTTTGTGCGCTAGATAAGCATATTGTGGCTTGTTAGAGCGATGATAAAGAAAATCTTAAATTCCTGAATTTTCAACTTAATTGGATTTCCCGAAAGTTGTCTCTCAATAGCCTGGAATCGGTAACCGCCGAAATGTTTGATATTGGTTTGAAGCATATTTTATCATTTCAGAATCCCTTTGGATCCCTCTAAAGTTGCTCCAAATAAAATCATCACACCCACTATAAACAGAAATGGGCTTCGCTTTGAACTGAAATATGCCCTACTCTTTATTCTTCATAGTCATAGTTTTGAAGATGAATAAACGCTTTATTATAGGTGAATTGGTTACTTTAAGTGTTTCAAAAAAAATCCAGGATCCTGATAAGTCTCGGGATTTCGAAAAATAAAATCCCGAATCCCGGGATTTTTCTGTGTCTTTCCATGGAGTCGGATTTAAATCAACCAACCTCTTGTCACGTTTCACTTGTGACAACAGAGTCTTTAAAATTTTCATCTGATTTATGTTAAACTTATGGTATTTTTTCCTCCGGGAAATGTATCGGAAAAAAATCCACAATCTCTAATTTCACCCCACCGACATGTGACATCTCTGCGGGACCACCTTGTAGGATTCGTTCGATCTGAGCATAAGTCCACATCCAAAAACTTCCAAAGAAACTCTCGAACCAAAAACCGCATTCAAGTGTTTGCGGAAAGTTGGAGGAACAACCTGTGGCATCCGAAGAGAGAGAACGCGCCCGCGCGCGCATACACGGGAGACAAACAGAGAGCAATCGTACCCTATCCAACAAGAAGGAAACTGGTCAAAGTTTCATTCTCTCGCTCTCATCCAAGTCTCCGGCCGGATTGGCTCGGATCTTGGAATGGACCCTGCATGCGGGCCACGACGCACGCTCCGGCGCAGTCTGTTTTGACGAGTCGCGCATGTGAGTGGTGTCTTGTGTGCTCGGTATACTTTCGGATGCTGGTCCTTTGAGAAGGGGGGCACAGAAGGAGTGTAGGTTAAACATAAGAATTCTTTCGCGAGGGGTGTTGATGGATTCACCATCCCCCTTCAGAGCGTGGTGTGGACGGCGAGCAAACTGTTCTTTCCGTCTTAATGATGGTGTGTAGTAGCTCGGAAGGAGTGTTACAAAAGTGAGTGTGTTTCGGGCTCGCAGAAAGAGGCCCTCTCAAATGACGATAATTTTTGTGCAATTCAATGTTGGAATGTCGGTGGCAGTCCGAGGGATGAAGTGTGTCCTTTTCTTATTTTTTAAATGAATAATTTTGTTTCTGGCTCGGGTAATGATGCGTTTTTTTGTGAGCGCAGTGCAAGTGGAAGGGAAGAATGTTTTGAATGGTGAAAAATGAGTTCATAAACCGGCGAGCTGGCAGGCGAAGAGATAGGCGGGATAGAGAGAGAGAGAGAGTGAGAGATCGCGCGTTGCAAGTTTTCGGGTCGAAGAAATTCTTCAGTGATGCTTGATGATGATAACGATAATGGTGACAAAAGAGAATAACAATAAAATTTATTTTCCTTGAGATAAAGCCAAGAAGAAATACCACGCACAGGGTCGAGAGAGAAAGATTTTTTTTCGAACCGCGAAAGCTGTCGGAATGGAGCAGGAATTTTCACCGTCCTTAAAAATGTGAAGTAACTTCGGGGAGAGATAAGACGAGTGAAGAATGAGAGTAATACCTGGCAGTGAGTTAATAACGAATGCTTATAGTTAACGAAGAGGCAAAACATAATCTGCAAACTTGGAAAGCAGTGGAACAAGTGATAAATGTACTAATTGTGCGAATTAATCATCGATTAAAGCAGCTGGTTCCGTGTGGAACGAGGTTCGTCGCTTGAAGAATCAGTTTTGAATGCAATTCACTTGACATTTCGTGCCAACTAGGCTCGTGCAGTGTTTTGCAAAGAAGAGTATAAAATATCTCAGTAATTGACAACAATAACAATAGAAGCCCTACCAGAAATGGAAGCATCGAATGTGTACGCGTAGAGTGACTTCAACGGTTGAGAGCAGAAGAAGAAACGAACCCCGCTGCGGTGTGAAGAGCAATCCAGAGATCTAGACTCATTGTAACCAAATACCGCCCCGTTTCGGAGCCCATGATCCCGTACAGTGCTTGCGCGAAAACAGTGTGTGTATTTTTCGAGCTTCAGCGTATCCCCAGAGAACTTAGGAAGCGATTGTGTGCCAATTGTGTTGTACTTTCATAGAGTGGAACGGTGCTTGCGGTTTCCCACCGACCAAAACAAGCAAAAATCATCGGAAGACACAATCTCCTTTCGAGATTCTCAGCAAGTGGTACCGGGAGGCCCATGTGAGTCGTAATTCAGCACGCAGCAGCGTCCCATAACTGCAGCTGGCACAGAACTTGAGGCTTCGCAAACCCGTGCCGCGTTACAACAACGGTCCCCCGAAGATCTAGACTAAAGAGCAAAAAAGAATCAGTAGAGCTCTACAAACAGCGAGTGCGATTACGTAAAATAGAGGCACAAGTTGAACCGAGCGGTGTCGCTGCTGGAGGGAGAAGATCAAAAACAATTTACAACCCTGCAGCTTCAGTGGAAGACATCCGACCCGAACCCTCGAGCGAAAAGGAACCAACCATTCTCCTAGAGAGCATCAGGTCCCATACCAAGCGTTTCGATTAGTTTTTTTTTTCTTCTGTTGTTTGTGCGCCGTTTGTTGGTGGTGTTATTTTTCCGATTCGAACCCACTTCGTGTTGGTGTTTGTGAACCTCTCGCGTCAGAAAAGAAGAAATCAGTGCTGGCAGTTGTTGGTGTGTGCTCAAAGGCTCTTCTAAACTGGGAAGACGTGGAAGAAAATCGACAAAATAAAAACACTGGATCCCGTGCGATCTGGACGTTGAACGCTGGTCGGAACAGAGGAACGGGAACGACGACACTCTCTGCCGTGCTACGGACGGATCGGACCGTCGAGACGAAGCCGAGGGAAGGCGAAAGGAATTCGGTTGTAACGCAGCGGGAAACCTGATTTTTGCTTCGCTTGGAGAGTGTACGCGCGAGCCGAGGTAAGTGCCCTTCTTCGGGGTTTTCTTCTTCTATGCTGCTCTCCGGCTCTGCTGGGATGGTGTGCTGTTTGTTGGGTTGAGGTTCGTCGTCAACCCGGTCGGTCGGTCGTTGAAGTCTCGCTGATGGTTGGTTGACTTCTGTGCTGTTCGTTTTTGGATATTTTGTTTGAGATGTTTTTGGTGTGTCATTTTTTTTTCGTTTTTCGTTTTTCGTTTACCTTTCGAGAAAGGATTCGTTTCAAGTTTGACGGGTTGCTGCGGGATCATTTGGGTCATTATTTCACCTCCTAATGACTAGAAAATGAAGGGTTTTATTTCATTTTTTATGGCTTTGTGCGAGTGATGTCAAGCGATCGGGTGGTTAGATTTATTTCTTGGTGGTGGTATCCGTGGTTTTGTTTTGTTTGAATGATTTATGTTACATTATATTAAAAGTTTTGGTTTTAGTATTTTGTTTTGTTCATTTATTCCAAAGATAATCGATGGTTTTTTTTTCGCTTTATTGGAGAGAATTTCAGCCTTGGCTTGGGCTGGCTCGTCTCTTAGAAGCCCTTTTAAATACAGAGTTTATTAATCTATGAAGAAAAACTGGCAATTTAAAACTGGATTTTTTTTCTTTTGTATGTGTTTCTCCAAAATTGGCCTAAATTTGATTGAGGAGAGGCCATATTTAGATGACGGAGACATTTTTTAATGATGGAGGGTGTTAACCCCACTTCCCCTTCGTAGTATTAGGTCAAACATTCTCAAACTCCCCTCTAAAAAAACGTAGGAGATGGGCTACTTCCGCCCCTATCAACTTCCATGCATAGATTAATTAAATATTAATTCAAACAGAAAACAAGAATAGAACTTTTGGATAATGTACCTTACTTCTCCAATATTGGGCTCGGTAGCTTAGAACTTACCGTTTCTGCTTACTGAGCAGAAGGTCAGGAGTTCAATCCCAGACTCGTCCTCCTCCTTGCAATTTATCACTATGCGTTATCCTATCCCCATTGCTATTATAAATCTGCTAGCAACATTTACCGAACGTATTCTATGGCTTACCCTCCTCAATAACAAACCTCCAAATATCGGTGTCACTTATGAGACGTCGTAGAGTTCGCAGCATGTCTCTTAAGTAAGTGCCCAATTAACAATCCTTCCCATCCCCAGCTGTTGCAAGGACGTGACCAGTACAATTCTCGATTGTTGGAGATAGTGCTACTTCCATCTAAGAGGGCGAGATCAATTCCATATTTTGGTCAATACGGTAACGGACGGAGGTGGCAATACTCTCTCTCAAACAATGGTCTAGGAATTTACTCGTACTCGTACTGGACAAGACATTTTTCATTTTTCCAAATGCTGTTTAGGTCTTGATCAATTGAAATCAATTGAAAACTCTGATTAATCCATCTACCGATGACAAGTGTCATTCTCGTGTAACATTAAATATGACATTATTTCATATTCTGCTCACTATCGTAGGGGCACCAAGATCATTCCAGAACCGATTGACACTAAACATCAGTTATCTAAAGCATTTTCGGGTGTGAAGAAATTAATAAAAATGAAATATTTTTTATTGCTGGAAACCTTTTGTTGTTTATCAATGATTAACTATTGTAAAATGATCAATGGGTTAAGCCGCAATCAACCAAACGGTCCTACTCAATATCATTTTTTGTCTTTGTTTTTTTCTATTCAGTGTTTTTTGAAACATTCTGAATAGATATATTTTTTTAATCTAGCCAAGATTAAACAGATGTTTACTGATTTATCGCATCGTGCTCTCTTGCCATGCGGATCTATTTGCTTTTTGCTGAAGGAAGTGTTACTAGTGTTTCCCCCTATTGTGATAAGCACTTCTAATTGCCATGCTCTTCGCACGAAACTTTTGAACTTCGTGAAAGTTAAGTTTTCACTACAAATTGGACGTCGGAGTGAATGCCGTGTATTGGCTGAAACCTTGGACGGATTTAAATGTCTTCTCAAGTATCTTACTGAGAAGAAGCACAAATTTTTTACTTACGACACCAAAACTGAACGTGTGTTCAAGGTTGTCATGAAAGGACTGCCCAGTGGTGAATCCCTGGAGCAGATCAAAGATGAACTGGCAAAATTACTTGGAGTTGTGCCACTCCAAATAATCAAAATGAAAATGAAATCCCGTCCTGGCGATTCGCGCAACGGGATTTCTAATGAATTTTATTTAGTTCACTTCAAGTCTAGTGAACTAAACAAGCTTAAGGCCTTGGAAAAAGCTACCCTTATGCTCCATGTCCGAGTGAAGTGGGAACACTTCAGAAAGACTGGAGGAAATTTCCAAAACCTCACCCAGTGCCGTAAGTGCCAGGGATGGGGTCACGGAACAAAAAATTGCTACATGCCTGCTAAATGCATGAATTGTGGTGATTCCTCTCACGCAAAGGACGACTGTCCTGTGAAGGAAGATCTTAAGAAATTGAAATGTTCAAATTGCGGTGAAAACCACAAATCCAATTTTTGGGAATGTAAGACTCGCAAAGCGATCTTACAATTTCATTCTAAGTGACAGGAAGGAAACGCTCCACGTTCCCAACCAGGTACACATTTCTTCTGCTGTTAACAACGGTCAGCGAGGAACAAATTCTACATTCGTACCCGTAAGTACAAATATCACCCCTGCTTCAAATGCTTCATCTATACCTGCTCCCCTAGCTGCTAACAATATTCAGCGGGTAGAAATCAAAATACTAGCCAACGTAATAATTCTAACGGAAATTTTGAAAATTTTGACTTGGGAAGCATTACTGCTCCTAAAATGGAATTTTTACAGAATTCAATAATTGACATGATTAGTGATACGCTTAAATCTAACTCCATGTTTGATGCTATTGAAACTGGAGTAAAAATTGCGAATAATATTGTCATAACTTTGAAATTCAGCAATGGATTTTATATCATTAAATATTTTAAATTGGAATGCTCGATCTCTCAACGATAATGAAGACGAGCTATTTCAGTTTTTGAGAGTTCATAACGTGCATATCGCCGTTATAACTGAAAAGTTCCTTAAACCTGACCATAAGGTTAAAAGGGACGCAAATTATTTCATTTATAGAAATGATCGTCTTGATGGAGCCCGTGGTGGCGTTGCCATCATTGTTCATAGACGAATCAAACACAACATTCTTTCTTCATTTGAAACCAAAGTTTTTGAAACTTTGGGAGTTTCTGTTGAAACAACAAAATTTGGTCAACCTACGTTTATAGCTGCCTATTTGCCATTCCAATGCGTAGGCCAGCAAAAGAATTGTCTCAAGGGTGACCTCCAGAAACTTACCCGTCATAGGTCTAAATTCTTCATTATTGGTGATTTTAATGCGAAACACCGGTCATGGAATCAAAGCAATTCCAATGGTAATATTCTGTTTGATGATTGTTCTGCAGATTATTACACTATTCAATATCCAAACAGCCCAACATGCTTTTCTTCTGCAAGAAATTCCTCAACTATTGATTTGGTCTTTACTGATTCATGTAAACTTTGTAGCCAATTAGTTACCCATGCTGACTTCGGTTCTGATCAGCTTCCAGTATGTTTTGAAATATCCCAAGAAATAATTTCTAATACCAACAGCTCTACTTTCAATTACCATAGAGCTGATTGGGAACCTTCAGTTGAAGCAACACAACACTTCTATAGTTGAAGCAAGAGCTGCATCAGTACCAAATCGCGAGGATAAATGACTGCCGAGGAATAAACAGGGGTGTCCATTTTGTTGCACACTACTCTGTTATACAAAACCACCCAAACCATCGGCCCTTTTCAGGACCACCACAACTTTCTACAAAAGAGTTGAGTTATGAAATTCACTTTATTCCAAAACAATATCCGAAACAAACTGGAAAATCGTACAAAAATTTCGTAGTCCTACGTCAACAATGTGGTTGTGTCTTGTACACCACCCTTCAACTTTTTGATTGGTGTGAGGTGTATCTATTGAGCTGCTAGGAATGCTACGATGTCCACAATGCAGCGAACAAGTCCGCGGTCGAACCGTCCAACGTGCAACGTTGAATGATTGTCCGGCTTCGGCTTGTGTCGTTAAGGATCAACTTTCTGATGGCTGTGTTAGGGGTGAGCACCTTGTGGTCGAAGGAAATGTATGGGTAATTTGAATATTTCCATATTTCCTCATTGTTAACTATTTAAATATTTAACAATTATAATGTTTGACATACCACACAATTTGTATAACACTGGTGAATCGATCGATAAATAAATCATCAAAATCCATTGATTATTGGCCAAGTTATTAGCATTTAAAGTCTGACCAATTTTCGTTGCATTTCCCTGAAATGGCACCCTTCCCGAAAGACGTAGTCCTACGTCAAAAAATGTGTGCTGGACGACGAGCAATTTGGACAGACGCTAAATTGACAGCACTTATTTATTATACCAGAGCGATATTTTTTTTTGTTTGGCTAAAAACTTTCAGAAACGTTTCTCATGACCAAAAATGCCATTTTGCATTTTCAGATCACCATTTTAAATCGAGCCTTAATTTTCAAAGGGCCTGTAGGAAAATGTTAAGCTTATTTTCAGAAAACTGTTGCTCGAAAAATGTTTGTTCAGTCGGTTTGTAACTTGGGCAATGTTGTAGGGAACATCTGGAACTATTTTAAAAAAATCTCACAACAACACATTGTTTGTATTTTTTTATATGTTTTAAGGGGATAATGAATGCCACCTATTACATTATAGGTCAAGATGGAGAAATGATGGACAAAAAGGTTTTGATTTTTTGAAAAAAAAACTCAAGTTTTTGGAAAAGTATCCCAACCTTGGTTCAATTATTTTTCGACTTGATATATTGAAAGTAAGGGAAATGGCTTTAATGTTGGCCTACACACTAAGATTATTTAACCGAGATCTGAGAAATTTAACCGACATCGGCAACTCGAAATCAGCAGCATTATATAGTGTATGTGTTTCATTTCAAGAAAACCCTCCTAGATTGCTTTTTCTC